CCGGGCAGCAGCCGGTGAGAGCTGCAGGTTGGGAGGGTGCTCGGTGGAGGCCCGTGGGGACATGGGGGGCTTCCTGCGCTCGAGGCTGGTGTCAGAGTTCACGCGATGGCGAGCTCTCAGCCGTGAGGAAACCGCGTCTCTGGGTTGGAAGCTCTGATTGGAGCTAGTTGGCCTTTTAATCCTTTCCCTCCAGACTGCTGCTAGTCCCTCATGCTCTTCTCGCGGTCCCTTCTGGATGCAAGTTCTTCCATAAGTGGAACAAATGAGTCCCTCGGCGCCCAGAGCTACGAGACTCCTCTATAGCTCTGCAAGAAGAGAGAGCGCAGATGTGGAGATGGAGGGGCACCGCAGAGAGGTGCAACCCCTGGCCAAGCCCAACCAGGTCCCAGGGAGCAGGAGTCAACCACCCAAGTGATGTTCGCAGTGAAGACCTTCCCTGGGTCCCTCCTGTGTCCCTCCCTGGTATCTCCCTCATCAAACTGAAAGGCAAATGGAGGAAACCAGTAACAAACACACCTCCGCTGGTCTCAGCCTCTGGACAGACAATGCGAGGACGTAAGAGGCCCTTTGCTTAGTCATAAACCATTATCTAATGATTTATGCATCCTGTGTTGGTTGTGCTTTTGTTTCCCACCCTCACGCTGTTACTCCGAAACAGGCTGCCTGGAGGTGGAGCAGCAGGTGAAAATTAACTCCTACCGAGAGGTTTCACTTTCGAACCCCTCGAGACGGAAAGGGACGCCCAGCTGGGAAGATGGCAGCGGCAGAAAGGCCCTACGGCTTGAGGCGCTTTTTGCTTCCAGCCGCCTCGTGGAGCAGATGACCAACCCCCTGGCTCTGGCACAAAGCGACCTTTATTTTGCATACGAAGGCTTGGAGTTAATCAACGTTAACAAACGACCGATGGCTTCTAGAGTCTCTGGTTGGGGCAGTTGTTTCACCAGGGTGAAGGCTTTCAGCCCCACCTCACCGGCCTGGAACGAAACAGAAAAGACACCGTGATTGTGAGGAATTTGCCATTTTCCAAGGGGGGTTAGGACACCTGCGGGGGCTCGCTGGAAGAGCTGCGCTGGAGCAGATCCAGGCTCCGGCCACTCAGCCGCCTGCTTCAGAGGGTGACCTGTACAAGCTGCTTTACAGGAGAGAGTAAAGCTGCCAACAGATATCATATTGAGGATCCAGTGGTGCAGACAGAAGGGATTACTAACCTCAGCCCCCCGCGCTGGAGATCATTACCTCCCATCTCATACAGCAGCTCAACTGAACATTCCCAAAGCTATTTCAGGAAAAAAAAAAACAGCTGTATTGACTCAGTCTGAACTAAATCCCTCATTTTCCTTGGTAGCTCTTCCAGGGATTAGACATTCTCACAATTATAAAGCTTTGCCTTTTTTCTAATTTGAATTTGCTTCTTTGTGTCTTCCAAACACTGACTCACATCATTATGGCTTTCTCTGATACAATGAAGAGAACATTAGTAATCTGTGTGTCCACCCTCCAAAACACAGGCAGAAGAAACTCGGGCTTTTGAGCACTCAGCCCGAACAAAGAGGCCTGATTTCCAGATGGTTACTGCTCAGCACTTCCTCAAAATCAATTGCAGTTAAGGCAGAAAATTGGGCGCTCTGAAGTCAGCAGCCGCATCTGAAATCTTTAGCCAAAAAATACAGGGGAGAAAATTCAAAAATGAACTACGGGGTCCAACAGGGCGAACCTGCACCAACAGCACGGTAACGACAGGCGGTCTGGCACAAGGAGCTGACGTTGAAACGCAGCTTGTGCCGGGCAGCTCCTCTGCCAGGACACCCCAGAAAACGTGGATAACTCCAGGATCCGCTGCGGATGGCCTGGCAGAGACCAAACCAGATCCAGCGGGGTTCCTGAGCCTCACCAGGCCGCGAGCTGGTGTTGCGCAGAGCTCCCGAGGCAGCTTTGTCCTCGGTCATCCAGCACCGCGAGGCTGTTGTGGACTCAGGAGAGGCGCTGGGTGACCAGAGCTTCATGGGATGGGGCGAGCACTGGAACAGTCAGCCAGCCCTCCCGGACCCTTTCACCGGTGGAGACTGACCTTTGGCAAATCCCCGGTCAGGTAATAAAGCATGGCGAGAGCGTGCAGGACTCTGGCTGTTTCCCCTGGTTGTTGCTTCGGCGCCTGTTCTCTGACATCCAACACCGCGTTCAGAACTCGGATCGCTTCCGCTCGCTGGGCTTCAGCTGCACCGAGAATGAAAGAACCTGGTTGGACGTACGTACGCCGGCAAGATAATGTATTCAAACCCGTGCAATTATCTCCTCCAGACATCAAAGCATTTCTACTACAAACATCGACGCGGTATCCCAGCTCCATGCAAATTCCATACCCATTAACAGATATCTTTTCATCCAGGCAGTAATGGTGTTGATTAGCCTTTAGTAAGGATGTGGAGTCATAACAGCTGCGTGAAAAGAGCGACTTTCATGCTCCCGTCATAGGGGAGATGGTATCGCGTAGCCCTGTCTTGGTGTGGTTCCTCCTGCAGCAACAGCTGAGGGAGACAACGCCAGGTGATGGGATTTGCAGAGCTGTTGCTCTTCTCTGACAATATTCCTATTAGCATAGATGGTGGAAAGAAGACAAGGCCCAGAGTCTACCTGACTTTGGTGGAGCACAGGGTACTACCATGCACACCAGCGTACTTCCTAGGGCTTTATGCACCTTTATGTCCCAGTGAGAGATTCCCCAGCTTCTCTCCCGAGAGTATTCTCCCGGTGAATACACCCAATCACCAGCACAGGCTATTCCGTCGCGTCCTCCCGCTTCAGAAGACTGAGCTGTAAACCTGCCTAAGCGGGATGAAACGTCGCTTTCACAGAATTCAGTGGAGACAAAGGAGCTGCAGAGAAACGAGAACGTTGAAGTGGAATCGAATCCTGAAAGGCAAAAATCTTGTGTCGCCCAAGTCCCTGCCCAGGGCGCTGTGAAAAGCAGCGCGCGAACAAAAAAAGGGCAAAGCTGCGTTTCCACTTGAACGTCCTCATTCCTCCAGAGGCCTCGTTTGTTGCATCCAACAAGCGTCGACGTCGGAAAGAGCCGCGATTCCGAATAGGTTTGGCCGGAGGAAGCGCCACGCAAACCCCAACGCCGTAAGGACGAACCGGGGGAGGCGGGGATGCTGCACCGCCCCGTCCTCCCAACGGTTCTGCCCAGTAGCGGTGCTTACACAGACGGTCTTCGCTGACTTCCCCGTCCTCGGTGAACGGTGGTGACTTCAGCGCTTGCTCCCGCGCTTGAAGTGACCTCACCAGAAGGGCATGCCAGATGGCGGTTACCTATCAGGAAGCAAATGAATTATTTCACTCGTATGAACACACGGTATTTAGCAACTCGTTGTTCTATAAACAATGCGTCCTGCAATACACCTCCCTGCCACAACCACCGGAGTGCCGGCCGGTGAGCGAGCCGGCGGCTGCCAAACGGGATGTTTCACGTGGAGCTCTGACCGCTCGTCTCCCACCGGCAGCCTCGGCTGGAAGTTCACTTCTCTTAATATTCATCAGACTTGAACAAATCGCACTCAGTTGGTAACCGAAAGCAAACGGGGTTGAAGCTGGCGAGGGGAACGAGGCAGACTGCAGAGCTGCCAAAGCCTCCTCTCCACAGAAAAGCGGGCTGAACAAAAGAAAGCTCTTTTCCCCCCCAGTTTTAGAGCAGTAATTGCTACTTCCCTTGCTTGCTCACTCCGTTCTGACAGACTTTTATCAGTCTGCCCCGTTTGTATCCCACTGCTGCTCAGCAACTCCTCCCCGCCCATGGAAACTCCGCGGCGACCCTCTCTACTTGTGGGACTCTCTTTAACCTCCGACGCCAGGGATTTGGTAGCAAAGCTGTTTTTTAACAAGGTTTGGCTGCCCAAATTGAAGACAACTTGAGTAACGATTTTAAGAGTACGCGATGAAGGTCTCCTGGTTTTAACTCCGAGAAATATTTAAGTACATGAAGGGTTTCAGAGATTGATCCTAAAAGGCGACGCTGGCACTTGAGACGGTCGCCATCACCTTAAAGGCAGTCAGAAGCAGGAAAAACATTGTAAAGAGCCCAGTAAACCCCAGAGGAATATATAGAGGATGAGCTTTAGTTTTACCAACCTCAGTATAGAGTGAGTTTGCTACGTCCATTCTGTTCTGGCGAAAGAAAACATTAGCCATGTGGAAATACCCTCCAGAGGTCTCCACAGATTTTAGTCCAAAAGCAGAACTAGCAAGGTAAACCTGAAACCAATTAAAGGAAAAAAAAAAAAAGCAGAATTTTAACACTTATCAAACCTGGGAAATTTTTCATTATGGATTAATGTATCACAAGCATTTTTTTCCTGCGGAACCACAGTTTAAGTTATACCCGATTATGAGTGGAAAACGTGGTACTAAAAAAGCTGCATTTTGGGCTTTATGCAAAGGAATGCTCTGCCCCCCAAATCCCCAGTGTCACCCCGCTGAAGCACGGGGCAGGTCTCCCACATTTCCTCCTCTCGCTGTGCACCCCGTACGCCTCCCGCCTCCAAACGCACAACCCGCTCCGCTCCTCAGCTCTCCGGTCCCGCCCCACGGCGCCCGTTTCTCCCCCCAAAGCCCCAGGCAGGGCCAGGGGAGCGGGAAGGCAGTGGCACATTCCAGCTATTCTGAGCTGGCGTGTGACTCTCAGCAGATCTCGGACACGCAGCCAAAGTTCAGGCAGGTCTTGGGCCGCTCTGACGTTGAGCAGCGACTTGCTAATAGCAAAAAACCTTATTACCCGACGCCCTTCCAGGCGCCAGATTTAGGGCACTTAAAAACCCCAGAGCACAGCGGGGAATCTCTCAAAGGCTTCGCAGCCGAAGCGAAGGCAGGGTTGTATGTGTTATAACAGAAAGGCTCTAATTCTCCTCATCCCTATGTCATCATTTACACCCACACAAAGCTACTATCAAATTCAACAGGAGTGGGTATACATCGCTCTGCGCTGGATAAATTTAGTCTACGTGGGACATAAATAGGACGTTGCGGAGTTCATCTGCCTTTGGGGGATCAGATGACAGCAAAGCATCCTCAGGAACACAGCTGACAATGACCGCTCTGGACACCACAAACCGTTCTCGTGGCTGAAAGGACGGAATCGAGGAAAACGCTGTCGAACCAGACGTTTAAATAGTCAAATAAGGCAGTCGTCAAGGAGCGGCTGACAGAGAGCTGCTGCCGAAAAGTACTGAGGAAAATCACAGCCAAAATATAAAGTAACTTGTCTGTTGAATAAAAGGCAGCTATACCAGCTTGGGGTGGGGATGTCTGTTCACCTCAGGGCTGTGACGAAGCTGACTGACAGGCAAATTCACAAGCAGATGCAGTGAAGACGAGGTGTAGGTCACTTCAAGGCATCAAGGACAACCAGTGAAACGTAACTATGGCTAATGCATGGATAGAGGTCTTAGATCTAGACAGTTCAGGTGTTTGTACCTGTTTGTACCCTCTCGGGACCTAAACCCAGGATTACCAGTCTGCCTGCTGGGGTTTTCACCTCGATCTGGAAGTGTTAGAGAAGGAAGAAGAACGGAAGGGTTTCTGTATTTGAGCTGGCTTACAGCATTCGCCAGGTGATACAAAGCCTGCTCCAAGTTGCCTTCAGCAGCACAGAAAAGCCCCAGACCACGATGTAATGTGTACTGAACGGCAGCACTGCAGCCTGGAGTTCTGAGGACAATCCACTGGGCTTGGGAGAGATAGCTGGACGCCTGCCGAAGACGGCCAACACCTGAAACGACAAGTAGAAATAAGCAGGACAAAGAGCATTTTTTTTTATTTAGGAATTTAGAGAATACTGCCTGCTATCCCTTTGCCGTAGTTTGATAAGGAGAGCTGGTCCGTGGATTCCCCACTTCTCTCCCGAGCGCTCCTTGGTCGAGCAGGTGTTCAAAATCTAATTTACAGGCGGGCTGAGCGTCTAGAGCTGCAAGAGGAGCCAGAAACTGTGCCCTGCATTCAACACCTCCGAAACACGTGTTCGAAACAGGTTAGCTACAGGCAGCCTGCGCTAATGACTCACGTCTCATCACACCAGAATTACTCACGGGGTTTTTTTTTTACCCCTCCTCTCGCCGTACCATTTACGACAACCCTGTAGACAGCTCAATCCTGCCAGCAGAGCCTTGCTGCACTCCTGGAAGGGCAAAGATTTACGGCGATTTCTCGGCCCTCTGCGTCTGCAGCCGGGGAGAGCGGCTCTCCACACGCAGAGTCCCAATTCGGCATTTTTTGACGAAGCACCCAGTCAATGAGAAAAAAAGGCTGGGCTTCAGGCAGGGTGTGCTTTTGTGAATGAACCCAGGTGTTCCTCTGATGCAATGGGCTCAGCAGTTTGCTGGTTCCTTGAGATAAGAGCACAACCAACTCCCCCCCTCGGGAATTTAATGCTTTGAGAGTCATACGAAGCCACAGAGGTAAAGAATAGATTTTTCATATGCTTCTCTTGTGGGAATCTTGGGTAGAGAAGGAGAAAACATTTCATTTGCTGCCATTGATCTCTCACGGCCAAGGAGTGATTCTTTTCCCCAGACCCACACAGAAAAGGGAGGGGGGTTGCGACTTCTCAAATCTGAGATGCCCTTGAGGCAGGGCAGGGTAGAGACATGGCACAATGCAGCTGAAACGCAGGACTGGTCCTTCCCTGATAAATGGTAAAAGGAAACCAGAAACCTGACCCAAGGGAGGTCTTGCCCTTGCCAACGCTACTATTTAGACAATACTTACCAGTGGAGGCCTCAGCCAAGAGGAGATAAGCAGGCACCAACTGCACAGAATTTGAGCCGTGCACTTCAGCGCTGAAACGCAGCGCATGCAAAGCTGCAGGTATCGCTTCTTTGTGCTTCCCCCCCCAAACAAACTCCTGGGCTGTGCTGTAGGCGAGATCGATGATGTATTTCTGCAGGTAATGGGACAGAGCGAGCAAACGGTAAGGAGAAACACAAAGCACGGTCCCTTTTCGCATTCAAGTTTGCAAACTGTAAAAGAGTGATCGGTAATGTTCTCTGTGCCTGTAATTAATGGCTGGAAATTAAAGCTGTCATATTAGAGCCCGGCTTTCACTCCTACTTCTTGCAGGAACAGCTTCGGACATCCTCTTGGGTCATGTGGTGACTTATGAGACGAAGAATCCTTTACGCCTACAAAAAAGGGCTAATAAGGCCGCAGCCATAAAAGCTGTGAAGCACAGAAAATGATCATCACAAGACCATAGAAAAGATTAGACAAAGGGGCTACGGCGGGGTTGTGCAGCCGGTAATAACGGTGACTCATCGCAGGCAGCGGAGCGTACGGCTTGCCAGGCTGGTGCCAGCATGGCACACCTCCAGCTGCAGGAGAGGCGCTCTGGAAGCGAGGAGAGAGCTCCTCACATGGTGCTGCAGCTTCCTCCCACCTTTTCCCGGCCAGTTCTGGGACTGGTATTTTGGGCAAGGAGTCTGGCAAGCCGGTCAAAATCAGAACAGCCTAACGCGCCGCGTTGCACCCCACCCCCCGCAGCCGGGTCGGGTGGTCAAGCAGCTCCTGCAGCATTTCTGTGGGGTGTCTTCCCGTGGGTAGAGTCGCTCCCTGCCTTTCGCCACTCCTGGCAGTCCACCCCGCATTTGGTCTCCTCGCCCTCTGCAGCGCCTGATCGGTTCACCAGCCCCACACCCGTTGGGGCTCCCGCGCGTTGCCAAGAGCTCTGCCGACGCCGTGCCCGTCCAACGTGCCGAGGGACGCCGGCAGAAGAGAGCCAGGACGCTTGTTTATCTATTTCTCTTTGCTCTCAGCGTTCTGGCTGCCAAGTCCCAACACTTCTGCGTTGGCTTTTCACCCAAGTGGTGCAGCGGGAAAGCTGCCTGGAGAGAAATCTTGTTGCTGGTGTGCCTAGCGGTGCTGCCATGGTAAATCAGCGAGGCGCTCGCTCTCGGCTTGCTAGGAGGCACGGGCAGGCCTGTGCAGCGAGCGCCGCCAGAAAATACCATTTTACCTCTTTAGTGTCTTCTGTTTTCCAGCTGTGGCCGAGCAGAAGGCAGAAAAACCAAATCCCAGCACTTTCGGAGGGCAGGCGTTGGCATTTTGCTGAGCTTTAAGGGCTTAGAGGGAGGCAGAGAGAGTCACGTCGTGGGTGAAAGAACAGCTCAGGGCCAGGGAGAGCCTGCGAGTGTTTCCTGGAGATCCTGGCTGACACAAAGGGACATCCTTTCTGGATAAAGGAGAGCTTCGAGGAAAACCCTCAGAAGTGACAGCACCCTGCTACAACAAGGACAGCCAAGAAAACACAGCGGGCATCTCCTCTCTGGCCCCTGAGCTGTGGAGAGTGAAAAAGGCACACACCGAAACCAGGCCGTGCTGGGGGAGTGTGTGGTGCCCTGGGGAAAGTCAGAGCGTGCTGGGGGCAAGGAGCAACAGAAGCTGTTCTTTATCAGGCTGCCTTTTCTGTCCTGGCCACTCGTTCTCTGTCACAACCGGCACTGGCTTCGGCGCGTGGGTGTCACGCAGATCGTCCTCTGGGGAGGTGGTGGAGATCAGCATCGTCCCTGTTTTTATTCCTAGTCAACAGCATCATCGCTGCTCCCCATGATGCAAGCTATCTTAAACCATCTGCAGGGAGGACAAGCTAAGGGTTAGACTCTTGCACAGCTCCCAGGAGGAGAAGAAAAGGCAGGAGACAACAGAAGCCCTGCAGCCCTGAATATTTCAGACTGCAGTTACAAGCCTTGGGGGGATCGTTAGCTTTGGCCCCGCGCTGTTTTTCATCTTGCCTGTAGCCCCACGCCCCCGGACCTGCACACTTTGGGCTCTTTTCATGTGTGTTGCAATTACAGAGGTTTCTCTGAAGATGCCCCCACGCAGTTGGGGTTTGAGGAGGCCGAGGACCCCAGTTCAGCTCCAGGTGGGAGCAGGGGGTTGGGCACACACTGGGGGTTCGGTGCCATGTTCATTTACTCACTCACAGGCACCAAAACCGAGGGTGTGCTTGAAGAAACGACGACTCAAAGAGGAAGGCAGGCTTCCAGTCAGCTTGAGCTGCACGGCTAGCAGGGTGCTGGAGGACGGCTGAGGCATGGCTCTTTTCCCGTACCCAGGGGCTGCGGTAAGCTGACATCACGCAGGCAGGTGGGGCTATTCCACCAACAGAAACTTGGAGTTTTGTCAGTTTGGAGGTACTGTCTGCAGGCAACCCCCCGGCTATGTTGACAAAAGCAGATTTCTATCAACAAAGCTTTGGAGTACAGACGAGGTATGAAGCTCATAACCTCCTGGCTCTCAGCTTCGTGCACTTTCCCTTCAGCCAAAGGGCATTTTGATGTGCACGAGCTTTCCTGTGTCCCGACTGAGGCTCGAGCTGGGTGTTTTCTAAACAAACACCGCGCAGGAGTTTGTGAAGTACAGCAGAAATGTTCAAAAAATAATAAACCTATGGGCAGGCTTTGAGCTGAAGGTTTTTTTCTCTGATCATCATGAGACTATGGAGCTTTTCCCCGAGTTCCCAAGGCCTTTTTTAAAGCATTTTTGTTGCCTCTGTGAATAGGAATCTGAGGAAGCCTGCAAGACAGGGCATTAAATAATCTCACTCTCTCCATATCGCTCCTCCAACGCCTGTCAGCCAGGCTGGGCCCACTGCTGCTGACCCTACACCTTGTGGTGCATAAGGCCAGGCCTCATCTGCGGGCTGGCAGCTGCAGGCTTGCTGTGAAAGCAGGCACGTAGCCACCACAATGTTTCCTCTTTTTCACTCCTTTCTTAGGAGAGAAGGAAGACAAAGTGTCCCAGCACATACCGTTCCCTGAATCTATTTTATTTAAACAGTCTGGAGGCAAAGGTCAAAGAACAAATGTAACAGGGTTGTTAAAGATCCTATAAAAATCTCTACTTCGAAAAAAAAAAAATTAAAAAATGGGAGTTTGCTCTCTATGACTTTTCCCATGAAGTCACCCCAAGCTGCAGGTTCGCAGGTGCCACCTGCTAACCTGGGTGTGTGCTCTGGTCGAGAGGAGTGACTCTCTCTCCTCCACCTGCCCCGTCTTCCTGCTGTCTTCCCCTGTGACCCAATAAAACCAAACAATTAGCTTCCAGCTAATCAAGGAGGACTTCCTTGATCTGGCAGCCACGTGGTCTCTCGTGATGCATATCGCATAATTTTAGTTGCTGTAAATTCAAGGATGTCATAACAGATGCTTTCCACACCAGTGAGCAACGTGTAGGTGAAGTTTCTTGGCAGTTAAGGGTCCAAAAAAGCCCCACCACTCCCCCCAATAAGACCAATTTTTTTCTTTGCAGACTTCAGAAAAGATCAACTTAAAGGTAACCTGGATCAAAGCTTTTGCATTTCTCCTGGTGCTTCTGGGACGTAGTGTTCTACCACACCTCCTCCGGACTTCGGTCAACAATCTTCCCCAGGATTTTCAGACAGATGGGGTTTTCCAAACCGAACTGGGTCGTCAGTGCTCAACTCCTGCAAAGCCTAAAGGAATGTGCTGCCTCCAGCCTGCCACAAGCTTTCACCCAGCGGGACTTTTGTCTACGCGGGTTCAACCCCTTTTAGACTTGCTCTTTCTGGATGCTCCCAGGAAAGACGGCAGCAAAGCGCCAGCACCTGGCCCAGAAACAACCTTAAAAATCATTCACGATGTAAAATCCAGATTAACGACGTTCTTCTCAGTGGCACCGTTTGATTGTTACCAGCTCTCTTTCAGCTGTCCTGCTGCCTCATTATTGTGCCATTAGGAGTTATGCAACAATAGAAGGATAATTTATTTGTATGAGCAAGACCATTCTAAGCAGCAGATGCATTTGGGTGGGTTATTTTATTTTATCAACGTTGTGGAAAAGCAGATCCTGCCACCCCATCAACAAACAAAACCAACCAGCCAAACAAACAAAAAGAGCTGAAAACCACTGGGGCTGTAAAGGAGCTGCACATCTGCACCACCCACGAGGCCAAAAAGCAGAGATAAAAGACCATACTTAGTGGGAAAGGGCGTTTAAAGTTGGCCAGGTAAACAGAGGGAGGGGACTTTACTTCTTTGCCCCCCTGCTTTGAGAAAGGGGAATCCCTCTCATCAGTGAAGGGCAGCCTGTGAGAAGCAAAAATTCAGCTGGATCCTGGACTAACCGGTGGGATGGACGAACTGCCTTAGTTAGTCCAGGAGGGTCGCTGCCTGAGGAAGCTCAGGAGGTTGAGTAAGGACTGTGAAAAAGGCAAGAACCTCGTAGAAGGTTCCCCTTATTACAGAATTTTTGTTCAAAAAAAACCCC